TCATATGTGGCTTCTAATTTTCTATAGGCAGCACTGATCTAAGCCATGATTACTAGACCAATGATTTCCCAGTATTTTGATACCTTTTAGGGAGCATAACTCCTGAATTTGTGTATTTTATTTATTTATAAATTATAAACATATTCAGTACTTTCCTATGTATATCATCAAACACTGACTAAATGGACATTTTGAAAAGATGAAATAAAAAACAAACAAATTGTCAATTGGTTTGGTTTGTGGTTTTTCTTTCAATTTTGTTTTTGGGTTTTTTTTTCTATATAGTCCAGGCTGGCCTTGAACTCAAGAATCTCCTGCCTCAGCCTCCAGAGTGCTGGAATTATATTAGAAGTTGTACTAATTTCTTCCAGGAGCCTAATGGGTCACTTTGTGTACCCACTTGAGTGTGCATACCTCATTTAGGAAATTCTTGCTCCAAACAGACTTAGAGCTCTTGAGCTCTTGAGCTCTTGGAGGGCAGAGACTTTAACACAACTACCTTCCCCCTCCCTAGTTGAAGCTAGCGTCACCCCTAGATATAATTGATATTCAATAAATTTTGTAGAAGAAATAAATAACTTTTTTTTTGCTGTACTGGGGTTAGAACTCAGGGCCTACACCTTGAACCACTCCACCACCCTTTTCTGTGCAGGGTTTTTTCAAAATGGAGTCCCTTGAACTATTTGGCTGGGCTGGCTTCAAACCATGATTCTCCTGATCTCTGCCTCCTGAAGTAGCTAGGATTAGAGACGTGAGCCACCGGTGCCCAGCAGAAATGAATAACTCTTAATGTGCAGTAATTTCTGGCAGATTATATTAATTAATTTCATAAAAATGGAGCTCTTTCTATGTGCAAGTTACCATACTAGGTGCTGAAAGTAAAATTTAAGAAGACTTAGCCTCTTTTCTCTAAACCAGTGCTTCTCAAACTTTAATGAAAGTATCACCTGAGGGCTTGTTAAACAAATTCCTACTCCCCTTTCCCACCCAAACTCTGACTTAGTAGAATCAGAACTTGCATGTTGAAGAAGTGTGGAAGAAACTACGTTGAAGATGACTGATGTACTTGAAAGTTGGAAAGTCATCCCAAATATTATGTGAGAGTGAGGACAGAAGAAAATTAATGCATACTGACATTTGCTCCTGGCCAAACATTTTAAATATATCACCTCACTTAATCTGCATGTCGACCTGATAAGCACGTATCCTTATTTCAGCTGAAGCAACCAAGACTGAAAAAAGCCAGTTAAGTTGCCTGAATCAAGGAGGCAGGAAGTGATGGAGCTTAGATTTGAATACTCTTCCCCTGCACTAAGTAATTCATGCAAAGCTGAAGTGTTTTTTAGCTCTCTGTCCTGGTCAAACTCAATAAGCAATTAAAATAGAGAACTCAGTGCTATGAGGGAAGCAATGCTGTAGAGATGTACCATAGGGAGACACAGTCTAGATTGGGGTAGGGAAAACTCTGGGGGGAGGATTAAATTTACATGAAGACCTGAAGGATGAATTAGAAGGGTGGAGCATGGGTGGGAATGGAGCTGATGATATGGGATAAGGCTTGGAGGCAACAAATCATTTAAGGAACTGAAGGAAGTTCAGAATGTCTGAAGTATAGAAGGTGGAGGTGAGAGATAAGACCCATAAGGTAAGTAGGGATCAGGTGATGCCAGGCTAGTTAGGCTTATTGACTTTATTTCAGGGTAGAGGCATAGTCAGACTTGTAGACTATCTCCCTCTTCTCCAACAGGGGAAAGATTCCAAGACCCCTAGTGGATGCCCGAAACCATGGATAGTACCAGATTCTATATATACTATTTTTCCTACAGATACATATAAATTGCCACAGTAAGAGATTAATAACAATGACTAATTATAAACTAGAACAATTAAGATTGACTATCCCTTATCCAGAATGTTTGGTACCAGAAGTGTTTCAGATTTGAGTTTGTTTTTTTTTGGGGGGGTGTTAATATATTTATATATACATAATGTTATCTTGGGGTTGGGAGTCAACTCAAAATTCATTTATGTTTATATGAACCATATAAACACAGTCTTAAGGCATTTTTATACAATATTTTCAATGTACCTGTGTTTGACTGTGACCTGTCACATAAGGCCAAAGGTGGTTTTTTTCCACTTGATGCATCATGTTGGCCCTTGAAAACTTTTGGATTTTGGGACATTCCAATTTTGGATTTTCAGATTAGGGACCCTCAAAGGATATACTGTATGCTGTAATAAAAGTCATGTGAATGTGATCTTTCTCAAAATACCTTTCTACCCTTTCTCTTGTGATGGTGAGATAAAGTAAGGAAGCACTTAGGCTTTGTGATATAGTGGTAGACTATTAGGTGAGGGTTACTTGAACATAAGCACTGCAATATCGTGATCATTGATCTGATAACTGAGAAGACTATTATGTCACTAACGGGTAAACAATGTATTCAATTTAAATATGGTGGACAAGAATATGAATCACATCCCTAGCAGGATAGTGTGGGATGGCCAAGATTTCATCTCGCTATTAAGAATGCTGTACAATTTAAAACATACAAATGGTTTTTGGAAATTTCCATTCAGTTTTTTTGGACTGCAATTGACTATGGGTAAATGAAATCATGGAAACAAAACCTCAGATAAAGGTGGACTATTGTATTCTTAATTCCTCTTATTTATTTATTATTTATCAAGAGAAACTATTCTCTATTACATATATTCGTGTTTCATAGTTTAGGAACATAGGTCAGCCACAAATTTCTAAAGAAATTCCTTACATTTCAAAATCACTTTGTATTCCAAAGACACCATCCTTCTTCATTTTCACAGAATCTTTCATGGAATCATAATTTCTATACAAATTTGCATATGCCTTCTTTCTTGGTTCAGCCACAATAAGCTTACAGAGAGCACCGAAATCCTTCCCAGCTGATGGGAGTTTAAAAGTTTACTATGCCTGTAATCCTAGCTACTTTGGAGGCTGAAATTGGGAGGATCACAGTTCCAGGCCAGCCGGGGCAAATAGTTTGTCAGACCTCATCTCAGAAATAACCCAAGCAAAATGGACTGGAGGTGTGGTTTAAGCAATAGAGCCCCAGTTCCACTTAAAAAAAAAAAAAAAGGTTCCTATGCCCTTAACAGAGGACAGTTTAAAGAAGAGTGAGACTGTAGCCTATAGGCAGAGAGATGTAAAGATGTTAGAAGTACAAATCTGGGTAAGGCTACAATGACTGGGGAGAAGGGAGGATGGAGAGATGCTTAGAAGTGTTTAAGACTTGATAATTGATTGGAAGGAGAATGGACAGGCAAAAAAGGAATCAAAGATGACCTCCAGGTTTCTGAGCACACAGTTTTAGTAATAGGATTTAGAAAGCTTACTATTTTACATTTTAAGAATAAATTCTGATAAGTGAAATAGTGCTTTTCACAGTGTTATGTTAGTAAAAATTCAATGACTAACTTAAGTAGAAAATTCGGGGAGAAAATTGCTATTTTTTGTGGCTAAGTTTACTTTTTTGTTGTTCTAATTTGTATTAACAGCTTTACTTTCTGTTGAGAGAACGTTCTAAATGCTGGAGACAACGCCTCTTTTTGGTAAAGAACAAGATTAACCAGGAAGACCATCCATTGTCTATGAACTGTCAGTCTCTGAGTTTCTTCTGTGATTGTCTTCTTGTTGAGTAACCTTGATCCTTCAGTTTCTGACGCTCAACATCCGTTTTTCTCCCTCTACTTTTCTACACCTTAAACCTTAAAAGGGGTAGGAGATAGTCTCTTATCAATGGACCAGCGATGCTTTGGACTCCGCCTTCTTCGACTCGGTCACGCCCCTTTTTAGACCACACCTCTTTTCCTGGCCCCACCCCTTGAAGAGGTCGTCTCCGTTATGACAGCGAATCTCCGCAATCCTGCCCTATAGCAGATCTGAAAGGCGGGACCTAGAGCAATATTTTTTTTCCATTTGTCAAATCATATGTCTATCTGGCCCCAGTTCCAGCCCACCTTATCTTCAATCCGAAGATTGGTTGCTCTGTTCTTTGTTCCTGGCTCATGATTGGCTCTTTCATTTCGCCTCTCTCTTCCAGCTTTTGCAGGCGGGATTAGCACGCAGCTTCCTGCTCTTGCCAAAAGGAAAAAAAAAAGAAGAAAAAGAAAAGAGGAGAGAGGAAAAAAAAAAAAAAAAAAAAAAGTCACGGAGATCGTTGGTTTTTAATTGGGTATCAACCTTGTCCGTCAGGCCAAAATCTGCCTTTTGATTGGTATTTCTATCTGCCCATCCCGCAAAGGGGGTGGGATTTCCCCAGGAGACCCACACCTTGTTGCCACTGGTCGAACAGTGCGCCTGTCTGCAGCTCCGGGTTCAGGATTGGAAGTGGAAGCGGACAGGTGGGCGTGGATTGGCTAGAGCAGCCGGTCAGTGTGAGGCGGGGGCGGGGCCTCGGCGGCTGGTTGCGCGTGTCCGCCGCTGGCTCCGCTCTATCCGGCTTTGCTAGGGGAGGTGAGTCCGGCCGCGGCGGTACCGGCGGCTGAGGAGGCGGCGGCCGAAGAGAAAGCGGCCGCGGCGGCTTAAGGAGCAAGCGGCCGCGGGGACGGAAGCCGGGTGGGGGGGAGGGGGGGAGACGGAGCAGCCTTGAGCCCTGCAGGGGCCGTCGCGCGGGGGACCCACCCGCTCTCCCCCCCAACCCTCAGCAGAAGCAGCCGGCGGCGGGGGCAGGAGTCAGCCCGCTTCCGACCGTACCCCTCCCGCCTCCCGGGGCTCCTGTTCTTTGGCCCCGGGACCCTAACCTTCTCTCGGGGCGGTTCCCTCTGTTTGGGCGTCCAAGTGCTGTCCACCGCTCTTTCATTCCTCCCTGCACCTCCTTACCTTCACTTTTGCCCTGGTTCTCTTTTTTTCTTTCTGCCCTGCTTGTCGCCTCCTCTCCTCACTCTAACCCTCCAGCCTCCTTCCCTGGCTCATTCTGCCCAGGAAAGTTTGGTTTAACCCCCCCCCCCCAAAAAAATCAGGTCAACCAGATTAGGAGTAGGGGGAGATGTAGGAAGGCCTAAGAGTTCAAGGGTTCAAGGGGGGGGGAAGCTGAAAGCTGGTTTCCCTGAAAATTTCCCCCTTCTTTGATTCAGGGTGGTTGGATATATATATATATTATATATATATGATTTATATTTTTAAATTGTGTTTTTGAGGAGGTGGTAGTGTTTAGAAAAGGATGTGGGAATGGAAGGGGTAGATGAGTCAACCCTGTTACAAAATTCCAAGGGTGGTGTGTTACCTGATCCTTTTCGTGCGTGGAGTTCTGGGGGTCGGGAGGTTTGGCCTTTATTCCCACATTCAAAGTTGGAACCGCCCCCAAATTAAGAATGGAGTTTTAGTACCCACTTGTGGCAGGAATCCTGGGGGGAAGGGGTCCTTTTTCCCTTTTCCCCCCCCCATTTTCTTTGGCAACCCACACCCTTCCACAAACGCTCACCCAAAAATTAAACACCAAGATCCTCTAACTTATTTGGAATTGACTGATGAAGACATAAAGCCAGTTCCGCTCTATGTGTTTTGAGGTGGAGTGAGTGGTTTTTCTTCATTTTTAAATGGCCAAATGACAGCTTGACCCAGTTTGCTTTCCAATCAAAGGGCATTTTTTTGAATGTCTCTTTGTGGCCCAAGAGCCAACGCAAAAATGATGGCGGCTTATAATGGCGGTACATCTGCAGCAGCAGCAGGTCACCACCACCACCATCACCACCACCTTCCACACCTTCCTCCTCCTCACCTTCACCACCACCACCACCCTCAACACCATCTTCATCCGGGGTCGGCTGCTGCTGTGCACCCTGTACAGCAGCATACGTCTTCGGCAGCTGCGGCCGCTGCTGCAGCGGCCGCGGCCGCTGCCATGTTAAACCCTGGGCAACAACAGCCATATTTCCCATCACCGGCACCGGGTCAGGCTCCTGGACCAGCTGCAGCAGCCCCAGCTCAGGTACAGGCTGCCGCAGCTGCTACAGTTAAGGCGCACCATCATCAGCACTCGCATCATCCACAGCAGCAGCTGGATATTGAGCCGGATAGACCTATTGGATATGGAGCCTTTGGTGTTGTCTGGTGAGTATCCAAAGAAAAACAACTTCTCCAGGTTTCTTCTCATGGTTCTCATTGGGCGAGTCATTCCTCATGGTTTTTTCCAGGTTGACCAAAGCGGACCACGCTTCTCAACTCGTGTAGGAATCCACCCACTTGCGTTGTTAAGGGGCCTAATGTGTTGGTTGTCTAGGCCTATGCTTTGGAGTTCTGGCAACTTTTGGTGGAGCACCTTCTCATAAGTGACACATATAAGTTTGCTGACTAGCAAACTATTTTGATCATATCACTGAGCTACTGAGTGTAAGATCAATAGATGAATGTGTGAAATACACCCACAAAGACCTTGGTCATCCCTGTGTTTGCTTTAGTTTGGATCAGTTGCCCAGTTGCAGCAAATGTCAACGACTGGCCCCAACTTAATTCCTTTTTAATAGTCTTGGCATTAGGGTATACTCTGTGTAATTATTTTCCTGTCCTTTACATCTTTTCATGCTTTATTTTGTGATCTTGATCCCTAGAAGGAAGGTAGGTTTCATAGTTGAACCAGTTAAAAAAAAAAATCATTGCTTGAGTGGTTTATTTTAAACCATAAAGCTAAAGTTGGGAAGTATGTAGCTTTAGCCTTCTGATAAGAATGCATTAAATATAGCATCACACATGAGTACCACAAATGAGGTTAGTAGAATGTAGCTGTGCAGTGGCCCACATTCTGTGTAATGTTTTAGTGTCACTTAGTGCTTCAGTTGTTTTTATCCTTTGTTCATTTGCTATTGTAGAAAGTACTTTTGCTAGGATATTTTAAAAAGTGTAAGGGTTTGTTAAATGCAACATTTTGGTCTGTTTGCCCTGAAGAAGATTAGTTGTTTATAATAAAATGTATTGCTTCCTATCAAAAGCAGAGTGAGCTGAGGTTTTTCTTCAAAGATTAAGAATTTCAGGGTGGATAGATGAATTTGTGTTTTCATTGCATTCAAAACTAGATTCTTGTTAATGTCTAGAAAAGCCCTCATCACCACAGTAAAATGAACTCTTTGGAACTAGTTAGCAAATACGTGCTTTTTTTTTTTTTTTTTTTTTTTCTTTTTTGGCTAGGTAGGTGCTGTACCTCTTGAGCTACACTTCCAGCCCTTCTTCTTTAATAAAAAACCCAAAAAAACTAGTAGAGTCCAGTTTTTCTCAACTAGTCTCCAATTAGGTTGCTGCTGCATTTACCCTTCTCCAGGGTGTATGGGATTCCTAGCGGGAAAGAGTGTAGCGCTTAATGGTACCTCTTCAGTTGTTCTGCTCAGGGACCTGCCTGTTCCTGCCTTCCTCTTTTCTCTCCCATAGCCTATCCTTAGGGATTTCACTATGAGTTTCCATTCTGGCCTAACTCTTGAGGATTTCAAAGCTGTAGGGTGTGACAGGAACACAGGAAAAAGGTTGTTCCTTGATTTAAATTTTGTCATTACTAACTTTGAGAATTAGGAATTTTTAGCTCTGGATACTTTTATCTTACTGCTTTGTGCTTGGGATACTGAAAGGGAAATAGGTTACAGCATTCTTGAGTATATTCACTTACATTTCTATCAAAAGGGGATGTGATTTGTAGAAGTAAGGGAAAAGATGTTTTTGAAGGGTGGGGACAGGGGTAGATGATGAAGAACAGTACTTCTGTACTAGCTCACATAGCAGACATTCTTGTAGTACACACTGTGAAACATTCATATCTAAAAATCCAAATGTGTTTGACTGGAATCCATTCTAGAGTTTTGTTGATTGAGCTCTCTACCACTAATGGAGTTTGTAAAACAATGAACTTGAAATATGCCTCTGTGTACATCTTCAATTGTACACCAGTTGTTTCATGTTTGCCTTGTTTCACTGACTGCATTGTAAGCACCTTGAGGGTAAGGACCATCTGTTGAAGTACTTCTTTTTCTTCCTACCACCTAGGTCAGTGTTAAGGTATCTTTTACTGTTTTGTGAATTGGTCCCCTAGGCAGGTGGTTCTTTGTTTTGGCTTAAACGACAGAAACTTAATTCTCATAGTTCTAGGGGCTAGAAATCTAAGATCAAGGTGCCAGCAGGTTTGTTTCTTCCAAGGCTTCCTTCCTTGGATTGTAGATGGCTGCCATCTCGCTGTGTCTTCAGATGGTTTGGTCCCTCTTCGTTTTTTAACCAAGTTTTTCTTCCTGCATTGAGTGTTTTTATCATCTGTTCCAGGTGAAATCCAATTTAGTATGAAAAAAGCGAAGAGTTCCAGGTGTGTGTTTTTAGTATGCAAATGCTTTTCTATTTTTATATTTACATTGGTGATTTGCTGTCTGGATTGCTTATTATATTTGGAATTTAACTGCAATATGATCTAAGTAAGATTTCTGAAACTAGAGATTTGAAAGCCAAGCTAGGGTGAACTTTCAGTTGTATTCTGAAACCCAACATATTGATGAGGTTTTTTTACTTTGTAACTGAGACAGGAATTTTCTTTTTAATTTAAAAACACCTTATAAGTCTGAAACAACTATTTCCTAAAATGATTAAAATAGAACATAAGAATATTCTTTCAGTGATACATCATTTGATTCAGTACACCATGTAACTACCTGGGTATCATAAGATTTACTTAGATTCAAACATATTTATTCAGCATTTTGCAAGTATTCTGGCATAGTATCTGACAAGGAGCTACATTTGCCCCCGTTACTTTTTGGACATTCACACAGGGGTACTGACTGATGGCAAAAAAAAGTGAAATGTAATAATTTTGAGAGATATTGTTCTTCTGTATAGATAGGGAGAGACATTTGTAGAAGTGATACAGTATTTTACCATTCAGATTTATTACAGAACAATTTAGTCTACCTTACTTAATTTATCTTTCTGCTGAATTTAACTAGTGGAATAACTTATCAGTATTGGACAGTTGTGTAAAAGTAGTGAATTACCCATTAGCTTGCTGGTAAAGATGGTGCTTTGACAGTTCAATTACGGTTTCATTAACAACTGTCTGCGGTGTTCTATCTCAGAGTAAGGGTTCCACTTTACCTGGTAATGTGATCATGGGGTAGGTTGAAATACATTCATTGCCAATGATAGAATATTGTTCATGGGAAATCAAAACATCACATATAATTTGACCTTCATTATCAGATGTCAGACTTCCAGACACCCATATGGACATTTTCATAATGCAAAAACAAAACAGTCCATAAACAGTAACCTCAGACATTTGGTGAAAATAATATAATGTACCTTTTTGTATGTAGTTTATATTTGCTAGAGAAAAATTCTGTGCTTTAAAGATGTGAGAATTTTGGGACAGTGAGCTTCAGAGGCTCATGAAGTGTGTAATTTTAAGAATTGGTGTAAATTGACCACATGAGAGCAGTTTGGGGGTTGCTAAACCCAGGCAGTTTTTGACACTTGTAATGGAAAATATATAGATTGGATTAATGGCACGTGCTGCCTTGATAAAGTGAGTCTGGGAAAAGCTTCTGCTTCATAAAATTAGTATTTTGGTTTTTGACTTGTCTGGATCAGAGATCCTAGAATTCACTTGGTCCGTCTTCTTTGTTTTTCAAATAAAGTTGAAGAGCTTTGAGTATTATTATCTAATACCTTCAGCAGGTTACTTTCTATCTGTGTTTCAAAACTTAGGTATAACCATGGTGATACTTTGTTACTTACTAGCTCTGTGATCTCAATAAATTATTTACCATTTCTATTCCTCATCTACAATGCTTATTTCAAGATTGGTCTGAGGATTAAATGAGGTAATCCCTATAAACCAGTGAATACACTATGTAGCACACAGTAAGCTCTCAATAAATGTTAGCTGTTTTTATTGTAGCTATTATTGGTAGAAAGATGAGACTATTGTGTGCATAGAAGAGTCTTCATAGAATGTCAGATTTACCAGGTGGAATCAATGTGCAGACTGTTTTTGGAGGCATGAGTTTAAATATCATAGTGTCACTTCAGTTGTGCTATGTTTCAGGGAGGTAAAGAAGGTTGAATTCGGAGCCAAAGGGAAAATAGTCTGTCCTGTTCTCAATTAATTAAAAAAACAAAATATAAAGCGTGGGCTTGGTAGGTGTTCTAGTCTGTTCATCTTAACTGTTTTAAAAAGTATTATGGATTTATGTACTGGGAAGGAAATTAATTTTTTCTTTTCAGAATGTAACAAGTGAAGGGCATTATTATTGTCAAGAGTTCTGCTTTGGTGGAAATTCATTTTACTTGTGTTTAGATGAAAAAGTGTGAATTGCTAAAGAAGATCCCTGTGAGGTGAGGGAAATGTGTGTGACTTAATGAAAAATTATTCAGTGTAAACTTTTATGCATGGCAGAGATTGTCTAGCTTGCTCATCTTGTGAAAATTAGAGGCATTTTTTTCCCCTGATGCTTTCTCTGGTTCTTTTATTTCATAAATAGTGGAATATAATTTGAAAAAATGGGGGATGCTTTTGGGGGATGTGTGCAGAAAATCCCAAGTCAGTTGAATCAGGAAGAGGATACTAAAGTGTATTTTGTTATTAACTGTGTTTTACAGGTTAAGAATCTATAGTGTTGAGAAGTTTCTCTGCTATCTGCCAAGATTAACAGCCACAGCTGGATTCTTTGGGGGGTCTGCTTTGTGAAAAGAGCTTTGAAGAAACAGAGCCTGCACCATAAAAAGGAAACGGTTGCTCTTCTAGACATAACAAAGCATCCGTGTGAAACTAGAAATGTGGAAATCTATTTCGTTAATTTCAACTACAATGAACTTACTTTTAGAAACTGCAGGTTCATGACCATAAAGTAGAGAAAGAAAAGAAAGAATAAAAGTGACACAGTCTAATGATGATATACCCATTTTTGGTGATTGAAGCCCCATAACCTGTTACTTTGAAAGTCATTTTGGATTTAGGTTCTGTCAAGATTATCTAAATTATGTTCAAAAGCCAAAAATAAAATAAAACTATGGCACAACAAAATAAACTTGTTTTATCCTTGGAGATTAATTTCATGTTAAACAATTGAATATCAGTTTAGAAAGAA